ACCACCGGACTTGATTGAGTGATCTGAAGGTGTAATCAGGTGGTTACAAATGGAACTCCTAGACTAGTAGAACTAGGTGTGACGAGTTTGGTTTCGTTTTGTTAGTTACGATAAGACCTTACCACCGGACTTGATGGAGTGAAATTCGGCACACCTAGTTCTACTGGTTCAGAAATTCCAGCAGTAGTTACTGAATTACTCCTTCAGGTCATTCCATCAAGTCTGGTGGTAAGGTCTCATCATAACTAACAAAACGAACCCAAACTCGGCACATCTAGTCCTACAAGTCTAGGAGTTCCACTTGTAATCACCGAACTACACCTTCAGGTCACTCCATCAAGTCCGGTGGTAAGGTCTCATCATAACCTACAAAACGAACCCAAACTCGGCACACCTAGTTCTACCAGTCTAGGAGTTCCAGTTGCAATCACCGATTTACACCTTCAGGTCACTCCATCAAGTCCGGAGGTATGGACTCGTCATAACTAACAAAACGGAGCCCAAATTCGGCACACCTAGTTCTACTCGTTCAGAAATTCCAGCAGTAGTTACTGAATTACCCCTTCAGGTCACTCCATCAAGTCTGGTGGTAAGGTCTCATCATAACTAACAAAACGAACCCAAACTCGGCACACCTAGTTCTACTAGTCTAGGCGTTCCACTTGTAATCACCGAATTACACCTTCAGGTCACTCCATCAAGTCCGGTGGTAAGGTCTCATCATAACCAACAAAACAAACCCAAACTCGGCACACCCAGTTCCACTAGTCTAGGAGTTCCTGTTGTAATCACCAAATTACACCTTCAGGTCACTCCATCAAGTCCGCAGGTAGGTAAGGTCTTATTATAACTGACAAAACCAGTTCAAAGTCCAGAGCTAACATCTCACTACCAGTAGAGGGCTTCCAGTGCCAAGCAGTCTTTGGAGCAGGTATTCATATTTCGTATCGAAGTATATTTCTGAGAATATATAGATAAGAAATGAAAAACAAATTCAATCTTTCAAATTATCAAAATAATTTCATTTGACTACGATTCAAACAGCTAACCGTGCGTACACTAGTGTGTGTGTGACTTTTGTCAATGTAGTAGTGCGATTCTATACCTATCCATTTTGTAAACGCGTCCTTAAAGCCAGTCTTTTGGGAATGAATTTGTTAAAAGCGGAGGCGCGCGGGCAATACGCTTGCAAGTTCATTTCACGTTTCAATGTTTATTTACTCTGTGTGCTTATCTTAAGCGATTTAATATTACGAGTTCAAAATTTATGCTTTTTTAAAGATTTTTAATGAAAATGGAGGATAATAGTGTTCCTTGTGATGAATTGAAGTGTGTTAAAGTGATAATCGGAGAGGAAATCTTTAAACTTTGTTGAGATAATACACAAGGTTAAAGTGTATTTCAGACTTCATCAATTATCGCAATTAAAAACAGTTATTGGTACAATTAAAACGTTCACCAACATTTTACGTGGACGTAATTAAATCTTTCCATAAGAAAGCGAGACGATTCCACTTATCTTATCTTATCTCTTATCCGTTAGAATGTAAATAATTTTTTTTAATTTTGTACATAATTTGTTTGTACTTTGTCGTTTTACTTTTGTTCATGTATTGTATTGGATGTAAATATTTTTTTTCTTTCATTTAAACAAACCCAAACGGCTTTCTTCAAAGCCACCGAAGCTATGCAATTGCTGATATGTAATACAATCTATCTAGCAGTGGTATGCCTTCTGTGTGCTTTGTTAAACACGTCCTTGACAGCACTGAATATGAAACTGTAGCGTGGAGACAGATCAAGATTGGTGTATTTTTATAAAACTGCTAAAAACAACAATCTACTTTTTTATCAATTTATATCTTGAGCTTGCCCTAGCTTGGAGCTCTAGCTTCGCCACTGCTTCCAAGTGACCACGAAACTGCACGTCACTCGATATGTCGATGCCGAGGATTCCGATACTGGCTGAGGCAACAAGGGGAGTGCCTTGAAACTGAGGAGTTACGACAAAAGGGTTCTATTTAGTGATTAACGCGCAAACTTGTGTCTTTTGGAGGTTAAACTGGACTAGATTTAGTCACCCCCAATCCGAGACTCTGTTTAGCAAAGACTCGACTTGAGACACAAGTTTGTCCCGGCACTTGGAGCCGTTTTCCCGAGAAATATTGGCTCAGCCGGTGTAAAGAGCATCACCAGTGCTGTCATCTGCATAGCAATGAATGTTACGGGTTTGCAACATATCATTATATGCAGAAGAAACAGCGTTGGCCATCCATGCCATCTCTAATGGCCTCCATTGCCATCGGAGCTTGCACCGTCTACAATGACCTTGATGCTCCGATCTGTAAGAAAGCTGGTGATCCAATCGCACAATTTCTCGGGAAGCCCATAGGAAAGGAGCTTCGAAAGAAGCGCTTTGTGCCAAACCCGATCGAAGGCCTTCGCAATGTCCAAACTAACGGCCAATGCCTCCCCCTTGGACTCTACTGCCTCCACCCATCTGTGAGTTGGGTAAACCAGAAGATCACCAGCTGACCGACCACGGCGAAAACCGTATTGGCGGTCACTAATCAGCTGGTGATCCTCAAGGTACCTCATGAGCTGGCAGTTTACAATGGACTCCATTGTTTTGGAGAACAAGGAGGTGATGGCGATAGGCCAGTAGTTGGACGGGTCCACCTGCGATCGCCTTTTTTAGGGATCGGGTGGACGAAAGCCGTCTTCCATGATTTTGGGACTACGCCTAAGGAGTAGGAGTACCGGAAAAGACGCGTTAAACCGGTGCCAACTCTGGAGCACACGTCCTCAGCAAAATTGGGGGATTCCGTCAGGCCCACTCGACTTGTGGATGGATGTCCAGGGAGAGGAGTGCTTTGCGAACCGAGCGCTGTGTGAACTGCACTTCCGGCATGGAGCACTCACACCGCGGGATGGTCAGCGGCGTACTCCCCCCGTCATCGAGAGTCGAGTTGGACGCAAAGAAAGAGCCTAGAAGATCGGCTTTCTCCTTTGCGGTATGGGTCAGTGAGTCGTCCTCCCTGTGCAGAGATGGAAGAGAGGGCTAACAGAAATTCCCCTGGACAGCCTTGGCGAGAGACCAGAATGCACGAGTTCCAGAAGGAAGGCGAACTATTTTCTCGCCAATTCTGCCTATGTGCTCTGACTTTGCCTTGGCAATGACTCTTTTGAAGGACCTAGAGGCGGAATTATACATCTTTTTTAGAGCGCTGGTTTTTACATCCCGGGACGCTGATGCGTCAGCCCAGGCTCGGTAGCACTACTGCTTATAGCATGATGCTATTTTACAGGAGCGACCAAACCATGGCTGAGATTTGCCTCCAATGGGCACCACAGAGGAAAGAATATAAAGTTCCATACCCTGAAGTATCACATCAGCGACAGAATCCGCAACAACGTTGGGATCGTCTGGCGAGAAGCAAACCCGCCCCCAAGGGTAGGATGCAAAGAAAGACCGCATTCCATCCCAATCGGCTGACCTATAGTGCCAAACACGGCGGCAGCCTGCAGAATGCAACTGCGATTTCAGCGTGAGTGGCACCACACTCCGGACAAGACAATGGTCCGAGGAGCCCAAAGGGGCTTCGACGGAAATCTGATATCCGTCCGGGTGAGAGGTCAGCAGAAGGTCCAACAGGGAAGGTGCATGATCCTCCACATCTGGAATCCGCGTAGGCGAAGTAACCAGTTGTGTCAGACCATATGCCAAGGCAAAATCATGAACAGATCTCCCCGCATGATCGGTTAAACGTGAACCAAGCAAAGCAAAGTTTGATTTGTAATCGAGGATAGATGGACCACAGGAATCACTTACCATCAGGTGGACTGTGTGCTCGTTTGTGTTATAAATGAACTGAGCAGCTACTAAATTTTAACAAGAATTACAATTATTAAATTATTAACGAAGCTTTAGTACTTAATCATCATTATCAGTACTTGTGAAACCGAGGTGGATCGGTAGTAAAAAAATATTTTTTGATTTATGTTTGATTTTTTTTTGAAATCGGTATTTCTCTAAAAGAATGTCCTCCAGATCGAAATTCGGTCACGTCGGCCAGTCTTAATTTAGACCTGTCATCTGCGCAGTACAAGATTTATAGTGTGTTAAGCACGAGTGTATGCGCGAACAATGGTGCACTTTCTATTCCCATCACACTCCCGCATGGGATAGCAATCCGATATCACAGGAGAGAGATAAAGCACAATACCAAAAGTTTTACGCACTTTCCGAAGCAAGCGGGAAACAATTTCATTTCTTAGACATGCAGGTTTCTTCGCAAGTTTTTTCACTCACCGCCGAGCACGTAGTTATTCAGCTCTTTCTTCTTATACAGGCTTGACTGGTAAAGAATTACATTATACGGAGTTATTTTTAAAAGAGTATTCAATATTTATATTTAAGTTCAAATATATAAATAATAATATTATGTTATTGCAGTTTTTGAATATACGCGTAAATAAGGCTTCCATTTTTATTTAAAATTATTCCAAATTGAATGTGACTTATGGTCATCAAGTGCGCGTACACGTGCTTCTCTGTGTGCGATTCAATTCACAACGTTTTTGCCGATCGAGCGACCCTTACGAATGTGTGCGTGCATAGTAAAATAATAAGCGTTAGATATTTATTAATGACAATCAGTTAAAATAATACATTACCACGCATTCTTAATCTAAAAGATGATAAGAACAACTTTTTTTAAATTAATTTTTCTTTGCCATTCTTTGAAAAATTAGGCTGCAAAATAACCCTCTAGCTTATTATAGCCATATAAGTTTAACCGTTTTTCATATTTATTTTAATAAGTTTAGCTAAAAGAATAAATAAGTTTGTAGTAACATATTACTTTTACTTTATTACGGAATTCAAACTGCTTTCAAAATAGATTTTTAAACATAGATTGTACAAACTTTCAGAAATGTCACCATGATTCGAGTAGTTTTAGATCCTTCAAATAATCTAAATATATTTTGTTTTGTAGGCATACCCTGACTGGTCATGGCATACAGCTGGTCGCGGAGATATCAACTGCACGGGTTTGATATCCGTGTACCGCGCACGGGCTGATCGCTGCAACAGGCTATGGGTGCTGGATTCTGGTGTCTTTACGAGTCTGGACGACTTCCGACGAGTTTGCCCGCCAAAGATCCTTATCTTCGACATGGCTACCGACCGCTTGGTGAGTTCGTTGAGAAAAATATTTATTTTTGATATGTTTAAAATGGTATGAAATTCAATGTCTTGAATGTTGATACTTAGGCTCCAATTAATGGCGATATCCAACCAGCGGTTGTTTACCAAAATTATTAGTTTTTATACATTACTAGCTTGCCGGGCAGACGTTGTTCTGCCCTTTTTGACGACCCTTTGGCATGTCCTATTAAAAATCCTTAAATTCGCAAAAAACGTGAATCACAACAAAAAACTATCCTATCTCTCTATCTCAGTTGGACCAAACTGCACACGGTGTGAAAATTTGATGAAAATCGGTTAAGTAGTTTAGGAGTCCATCGCGGACAAACAACGTGACACGTAATTTATATATATTAAGATAAATATAAAACAAAATACATTTAAATATTTACCTTTAAATCTATTTTGATAAAACATATTAAATATAATTGTTATTGAGTAATATAGATTACATACGTTTTTTTTACTTTTACCACTGGTTTGGGAAAACCTCTGTTCTGCAAAGAACTAGCACGAAATTCAGCGGGACTTTGTTTTAAAAATTAAAATTATACAACAAAACGCAGGTTGTACAAACTACTTCCAAAACTTATTTAAGAAACGGTTTGGAAACGTTCACCTCTTTCCCAGGAGTTATTATGAAGCATTTGTATATATTATACATATTTTATGATATCATATTTAGAGATAGATTAATAAAAAGCTACAATTTCTTTATTATTTAAGTTTGTGCTGATTGACAGAAACTAACTTATTTAGTCAGAGTTGTGGTAGTATCACTTTTTAACAGAGTTCGAAAACGAGAAAGTTTTCGAAAGTATAATATATATATATATATATATATATATATATATATATATATATATATATATATATATATATATATATATGACATGTAACATAATTAACGCACTTTGAGAAAGTAGTTTTTTCAGAATCGTTTACTGAATCGATTTCTATCATTTTTAATATAGGTAATTTTTTATCTCAAAAATAATTAAAACTACGTAAATTACAGTCACACTAAATTTGTACAGTCAAAACAAACTGAAATGGACCGTAACTTAAGGCAATAAGACTTTTAAGAGTGCAGTTTTATTTGTATTATTACTAATTCTGTCATTCAATAAAAATAAAGAAAAATGAACTTTATTTCAAGCACGTTAAAGTCTTTGCGTTCGTGGATTTGTACTGTGACCACAACATTCTTCCAGAATTAGTATAACTAATTTGATAAATAATCAGTGCATAAAAACGTTTAACTAAAAATTCAGTGTATGTATTATGATTATAATGTAATATACTAATTGGGGTGTTTGAGGGTGTGCGTTAATTACATTACATATTGTATATATATATATATATATATATATATATATATATATATATATATATATATATATATACTTACTGACTTGGCTCTTATTTAAGTAACGAGAATTGTATTTAGTTATTTATATAATTAACTGCTGTTATTTGTGTACTAGCTACGGTTTGTTGCTTTTTCACGAATGTTACCGGTGAAACAACACGCATTCTTTAATCACGCCATTCACGGTCACCGACTAGATAAGTTAGGCTTCCGTGACCAACTTTAATGAAATAGTACGGCACTGGCACAGCTAAGTAACATAGTCGTGTTTTATGTCAGTGACACTGTCAGATTATTTCGTGAGTTGATTCTTGTTGTTATACGTTGAAAGGTAAATGTGTCGAGTACTTGCCCGTAGCAGAATACATTACACAATAGAATATTTTTATTAAAAATAAATTACAAAAATACTAAACATAATAATATAAAAGTTAATATAGACTTAAACAACACGCATTGGTCATGAGCTGTGATGATCCTGATAATTATTTAATTTGATCCTGGTGATCCTAATCAAGATACTAGGATAAAGTTATTAAATTATTGTCGGTCCTTGATACGAGTGCTGTTTCAAGTCAATCGGCCGTCTTAAAGTTAATGAAAAGTACGTTAAAAGATTCCGTTACAAAGATAGATAATTAAATTATAGTATAAAATACTTTAATAAAACCCTAAAATTAAAATTAATTTATTTGATCTTGATCAAGATACTAGGATAAAGTTATTAAATTATTGTATTGTCACTGGTTCTTGATACGAGTAATTTCAAGTCAATCGGGCGTCTGCAAGGTGTCTGACATGCAAACATGCCTGAGACGCTACAATATTGCGGCAACCCTAATGACTGCCATTTCTTTAAATTTCTCAGTCATGCAGTTCTTCCTACGATGTTTTCAGAAGAAATTTTACAGTTCAATAATAAATGTGTAATACTAAAAGACTTTCATCGTATGTCAAAAATAAAAGTAGTTTTGCAAAAATAAGTGATATGCATTCTGTAAATACTAGGAACAGACGCAAGTTAGTAGTACCAGTTACTCGACTCCACCGAGTCACAAATTCATTCTTGGGGCGATGTATACGCTTTTACAACAAAATCTCAGAAAATGAACAAAATTTGACATGCACAAAGTTCAAAAACTTTTTTAAACTAAGTTTGTATAAAATGGGTTTTATAGTATTAAGGAACTTATGGATGATAATAACCCCTAGGAAGGGTGATTGCTACCAAGCTATTTTAATTTGTTTTGTTAATTGTAACATACGTGATTGTAAGCTCTTATTTAAAAATAATAGTCCCGCTGAGTTTCTTGCTGGTTCTTCCCAGGACAGAGGTTTTTTTTGCGAACCTGTGGTAAATGAAAATAGAAGACTTTCAATAAGTATTATTTATAATCTAAATTGAATAAAAAAGTTTCTGTTTTTGTTTCTCTTACAAATCCTGCTGCTGTAGAGAGGCCTCAGTCCTTGATTGCCACAAATGTACGGTCGTACTCATAGTATTGCAAAACTAAATATAATGTGTAGCTATGGTTTTATTACTCTTTGTTATTGAAATCTGTAAAGTTCTCGGTCGCCTGGCAGTACAATCGTGGAGTGAAAGGTCGTCCCACTAGATTCCTGTTACGGCAAATCTAAAGTACTGCGTTAGATGAAAGTAACAGCATTGATTAATACTAACAATCTTAACAGCATTTTATTTAATCATTCATTCATGTTTTTTTATTAGCATTTAGAGTCTACTGCTGGATAAAATAGGCCTATTTAATATTAGACGTATTTAATTATCTCTTTTTTTTCTTATATTTACGTGAATACTACACATTGAATAAAACTATTTTTACGGATTTTATCGCGAATATATGAATTCTTCCTCTGCGTACATCGGGCAAAAAATTTATATTCTTAAACTGAAGGTAGCAGGGCTAAATATGACATCGGGACGTGAAACATCTCAGTCCTCATCGTGACGTCGCTAATGAAAGACAAGTAAATTAAACGCGATAAAATCCGTAAAAATATGGTACGTGAGGGTAATATGGTCAACCAGTTAATATGGTCAATTTATTATAACACAAAAACTATAGTCGTGTTTACATAGATGGTTCCCGGATGGCTCTACTACCATAGCTCTTCATCGGTCAATTACATAACAAAGCAACAAAACTTTATCAATGCCATTTTGACAGTTGACAATATATTGAACATTTTTTCGATTTTAGTATGGTGTATTGTAGTTAGTTTTTTAAGTATTTTTTTTCGAAGTGTTCCTAATTATTGCCAAAATCTCCTCTTCCTGTTTTTAAATTGGGCAAATTACAATAATGTTACTTGTTGTCGTACTTAATGCTAAGCGCTAGTCATGTCATAACCAAGTGGCAGGTGTGTGTCAGGAACGCGTTCTCTCGACGCCCGTATTTTAATTTATAAAGTCATGTAAGATTTAAAAATTACATGAAGTCAGTGAAATGTACCAAATAAAACTCGGTAACAACAGATTATGGATCGACTTTGTTCGTATTCTGTAGTTAATCCTTTTTATCCCCTTCAAAAAGAACGGAAAAGGGGGGTGGGCTGTAGCACTAACATGTCAATTCTTGTCCTTGTTTTCATTTCGTGCCAAGCGTCGCTGCATGCAAATTATTTAAAAAATGGCAAATTGTGCAATAATTACGTGTCGAAAGAACAGCGTGAAACGGAATTTAAATAAAGGAGATATATCCTACAACCAATAAGTCGATACTATTCATATTTTGTAAACACTAGAAACAAAAATAAAGAAATATTGATGTGTTAAAAACATTAATCAAAAATCTAAAATGTGTAAATTCGCTGTCTATCAATACGGCGAATCGGGTTTATAGTAGTGATAATACGACGTAATTGCTTGTATGTGTTATCCCGGCGATGCCGATTCTCATATAAAGTAAGGTTGACAGCCATTCTATTGCTTATTATAGACGATATTATTAGTCTTCCAGACCGAATTTCGGCCACGACGACCTGCCTCAACAGAGGCTAGCCATCGGTGCAGGACAGGATTATAGTGCCCAAGTGTATGCGCAAGCACAGGTGCACTTTCTATTCCCTCACTCTCATAATCCGATGGGACGGTAAACCAACACGACCGGAGATCAGGCGCAGGACCAACGGCTTTACGTGATTTCCGAGGCACGGGGGTAAGACACCGCCAACTTCCTGACTCCGGGCAACTACTGAGAATTTCTTGACGGAAAAACTCAATAATTAATTTTTTGGCCCGACCCGGGCTTTGAACCCAGGATCTCATGATCAGCAGTCGCACTACTACAACCACTAGACCAACAAGGCAGTCATTATAGTATTCTATGTACATGAGGGTGTCGTATGTTGTCTTATCACGAATTTATATTTAAATATACACATTACACTATATAAGCAAAGTTTTTTCTGCAAAAAGTAGTAAATGTGGGAACTATGCCACAATACCTATACGGTATTTCTTACGCGTTTATGTTATGTTTCACTCTGGGAATTTATGTCGATAATTACTGACACATAGGTACGTGTACATAGGCCTTTTGGCAAAGATATTTACGAGTAAGTAATTAATGCTATACTATATGGTAGAGCCACGCCGCTATTATGATTGTAGCATGGATGGGTCGGATCGACCGGGGAAGGGCCACGCTCTCACAGAATACCAGCGTAAAATAGCAGCTTAATACTATTGTGTTTCGTATGGTGAGTGTAGAGATCCGGAGACCCTTTTTTAATGAAAACGAGGCATTCCATCTTAGCTCTCAGGGGTGACAACGCATCTGCGTTTTGATTGTTAATCGAGGATGAATGTAGACGTCTATGGGCCACAGCATCCACTTACCATCGGGTGGACTGTGTGCTCGTTTGTCTCCCTTATTCTATAAAAAAAAATGTCAAAGCGGTAACATGTAAACAAGGTTTATAGAAACAGTTGTTACACGTCACGAAAATAATATAGTACGCATTAAGAAAGTCACGATAATAACGGCTAATAATAATAACCTTACGTTGATGATTTTACGCTACGCTACGTTTACGCTAGTAGGCACTGAGGTGAACTAATTTCTTACACAGTGTCACCAATATTGAAAAGTTAAATGAAACTTTTACGGTTTTTTTTTAATATAGGATAGGGTGACAAACGAGCACACAGTCCACCTGATGGTGAGTGGTTGCTGTGGCCCATAGACATATACATCTGTCGTCAAATACGAAACAAAATGCAGATTTGTTGTCACCCGTGGGGACTAAGATGGATTTCCAGCAAAATGGGTCTCCAATTCTCTACACTCACCATACGAAACACAGTAGCGTTAAGCTGCTATTTTACGCTGGTATTCTATGAGAGCGTGGTCCTTTCCCGGTCGAGCCGACCCATTCCTTCTACAGCTATACTACTAATATAGCTGCAGCATGGCTCAACCACGTATAAAATTATTTATGAAATACTTAAATCTAGACAACGGTGTATACATTATATCTATTTCTATGGAATTTGGTATATGGTTTTATGTGTTTCTATAATAATATTTCAGAAAGAGACATTAATTTCTACACTATTTAAACATATTAACTCCTTCTGCTATGAAATCTGTCGAATATTTCACCTCATACTTGAGTGGCGCTACTCTAGTGGTAGAAAAAGTCATGAATGCCTCATGTAATGAAAAAAAAAACTTCAAGAAATATATAGTGTTAGTATTTCATAAATTTTTTTAAAATGGTAATAATATTGATGGTAGTTTAGGCAAAAATAAGTTTTGTGAACAATATCACACATAGCCCGTTTAATCACCTTAATTCAAGTCTACATTGGGAGCTGTAAATTTCACAGAACGCGAGCAAAACGGGTTCGATCCCGCCGGCACCAATGAAATTATTAAATACAATTTTAAGTGCTGATTTACCACGTGCTCGGCGATGAAGGAAAACATCGTGCGCGGAATTTTGGGGGTGGGGGGCGGTGTTTGTTCCTAAAATCAGAGGTTCTAGGTTAAGCTTCTACATGCCAGGGGCGAATTTAAAATAACCGAGGTCATATAACATTGGAATGGGTGCGGCATATGTCCGCTACAACTGTTCGGTCTCAATGCGCGCGATTAACATTTCACTGCACCATGACAGCTAATAGATTTACAAATTGTTTATTCCAGTTTATTCTATATAATTCAATTTCAGACACTGATTTTAATTAATAAATAGTGATTAAAACTACTTTTACGGATTTTATCGCGTTTATTAAAAAAATCCTAATTGTAATTTGTTTGTGTATTCACCTATGTCCTTGTTGTTCTTTCAAGATATAAATGTGTGGTTTTTGTTTTATACAATAAGGTGACAAACCATCTGTCTTAAAGTCGTTCCATTTCGGGGGGTTTTTTTAAAAAATTTGACTACATATAACTTGTAGATAGAATAAATGATTAATGATGTAAAAATGGAACACAGTTTTCGCTCAGTATTAAATCATCTAATTACTTATACTTGTGAGTAGTTATATTGGGTCTGTAACTAAAATATATTTTTTTTTAAATTTCATGCGTAGTAGAGTCATGCTACAGTTATATAAGAGTTGTAGCACAAATGGGTCGGCTTGATCGGGGAAGGACCACGCTCTCACAGAATACCAGTGTTAAGTAGCAGCTTGATGCTAATGAGACATTTTTTACTAATTCTTAATCGGGGGATAAATGTAAATGTCTATGAGCCGCAGCATCCACTTAACATCAGGTGGACTTTGTGCTCGTTTGTCACCCTTATTCTATAAAAAATAAAAAACCGGCACGGCTTACATGGGTCTAAAGTTTGAATTCATGTTAGAAGTAAAGTATTATTTGAGAATGTGCTCTTCTACTAATTGTGCCGATCTATTTGCGCTATAGTTACCTATAGTAGAGCTTAGTGGCTATGCTACGTTGGAAATGATTTCAAAATTATTGAGTAGTTGTCGCCGATGTGATGACGAAATGTTCCTCGACTGGCTTTTGGATCGGAATCCTTTACTACTGTATTGTATATTACTATATTGTACTTACTGTATTTTAACATTGTGTTTTAAAAACGAAATATGATGTAGGATAAATTATGCTTCCAGGTAAGGAGCGTGTATTTCCCACGAGAACTGCTGCGGCCCAGCTCTCTGCTCACTAACTTAATCCTGGACGACACGAGGTCACCCAACCCCCATCTGTCGGCTTCATGTGACAACATCATCGCTTATATCAGCGACACGGTTACGCCTGGTAATTTTATTTAATAATATATTTTTTTCAAACAAGTAACATAATTCAATTGATATTTGGATGATGTGGCCCATATATTTCCACACTTGTCATCGATTAAAATCAAATTGCAGATACGTTCTTTTTTATTGGGGTAGAACCGGAATTTTTTTTTTAAAAAAAGGAATTTTTTTTTTTCCGGGTGAACGCATCTGTTTTGTTTAAGGGGAAATATAACCTCAAATGCTTAGCAAGATCCTCCGTTATGCCGAAAGTATTGCAGGATTAATTTTGAAATAAATATATGGTAAAGTTGAGGATTAATGTTAAGGACTATATTAGACGAAAACACGGTTCCGTAAAATTTTCTCGATAGAAAAAAAAATCCAAAGTTACCTCCAAACTGAAAAATAAACCGCAGTCATTCATAAAATACTTTAAATAAGATCATGAAACTTTGCATACTAACTGAACTAACTATAAAGCAGTGCTTATGTTATTTACTTTTTTTTAAAATACCATTATTTTCACTGTAAAAAGAAATTACCTAAACTATCGGCGCGTAAGCTTGATTCCTGTCGCCCCGTTAGTATCGCTTAGGCTTTTGAAGGGAGAAGTTGTGTCGCTTACGATGAGAATACACATTACGCAACAGGACGACGTAAAATTAAAATGGGAAATAACCATAGTAAAAATAAGAAGCATAAATATGATAAATCTAATGAAATAAGTATCTAACGACCTATCTACTTACAGTATTGGTGATTACAAACATGTCGGTACATAGCATACGACGCGCGGGGAAGTGGGGACGTAATTAGAATTTGAGCTGACTTACTCTATCCCCTTAATATAAAATAGATATAATGGGCCTCAGTACTCACTTACCACTATGTTGACTGTGTGTTCGTTTGTCACCCTGTATCCATTAAAAAAACACACGCGGTCATTCAAGCATACTGGACATAACGCTAAACCGGAAGCTTGTAAGTAGTTACAAATTACAATAGATTAAAATAAATTATAAGTATGTACAATTTTTTCTATCTAATTCAAATAGTTTTATAGCCTGTTTTTTTAATATTCTTTTGGAATACCAAATTGTAATTTAGAACACCAAAATAAGAAACTTCTAAAATCAATAAAAAACAGTAATTTTAAATCATAGTATATTTGATTACATATTATGCAATTTATTTTACAGAATAAATATTTTCATAGGGTTACTTAGTTGTTACCTCAGTTGGGTTAAATTAATTCCAAGCAAACATAATACGAAGTTTACCAAAAAGGATTAGGGCCACGTGAACATATAAGTTAGTGTGAAATGTAACAGACTGGTTGACATATTCGCACTATATTCTACATTTCACAATCGCATTTGAAGGCATTTCTCAAAGTTATACTTACACATATTTGTATCATTGTTATCCAGCTTTGTAGAAATTCGTATGTGTGGTAAAATTTGTATTTCGGTAAAGTGGGTCTTAAATTATAGAAAAAAAAAAATATATTTACAGATTTTATCGCGTTCAATAACTTATTTTAACTTATTTTTAATTTCCGACGTTTTGGGCCCTTTACATCACCCATGTTCATGGAGGGGGGGGGGGATGAGATGTTTGACGTCCCAGTGTCATAGTTAGCCCGGTTACCTTCAGTTTTTGAATATTAATTTTTAGTCCGACCTACGTAGAACGGGCTTAAAGTATCTTGAAGATCTTGCAGTGGTATGCTTGGGTTTGGGTTTAATTTTGTTAATTATAGGATCCCAAGCAGATGGCAGCACCCAACCATCTTCTCTATTGAAATTAGTATGTTTTTTAATTTCAATAGCCTCGCGTATCATCCTTGGTAGGAATCGGTGTTCTTTTGCGAGGATTTGTGGTTTATCAAATCTAATGTAATGGCGGGGACGATCTTGAAAATGTTCACAGACTGCAGATTTCTTTACTTTATTAAACGCGATAAAATTCTTAAACATAGTTTTATTCAATGTGTAGTGTTCGCGTAAATTTAAGGAATCATTACCGGTCTTAAATTAACCAAACGTGCTGAATAAATTTGGCCAAATGTGAATACCTGCTCGATATCGTTCGTGCCATCAGCACAAAAAAACTCAGTATTCATTAAATTGCATATAACAATTTACACTTCACACTTCGGCGGATAGAATTAATGATTGCATTTCATAACCTTAGTAATGTCTGTCAGTTTAATGTATACTTGTTTCTTATGTTCGAGTTTTTTACTACTTTTTTGAAAATAATTAAATTTTTATGCCTTTTTTCTACAAAATAAATCTACAAAATTAAGATTAATTTCGATCACGGCAGCAAGTGCCCTCGGGGACGAGCCATCTGCGCTGGACATAATTATAGTACACGAGTCTACGCACAAGCACAGGTGTACTCTCTATTCCCTATCTCTACTCCCTCATTGTTATCGTCCGATTGGATGGCAATTTTTATAGAAGAGGGGGCAAACGAGCATACGGCTCACCTGATGGTAAGTGACTACCATCGCCCATGAACAACCGCAACACCGGGGGAATTGCAGATGTGTTGCCGACCTTTTAGAAAGGAGTAAGATTTTTTCTTTAAGGTCCCTAAGTCGTATCGGTCCGGAAAAGTCACCGTTGGTAAACAATTCCACAGAGAACTTGTTCGAGGAAGAAAACTCCTAGTAAAACGTACAGTAGCGGCGCGGAGTATCGGAAATTTTGACGCGATGTGCGTTCGTGAAATTTGGCGGCTGGAACTAATCTGAACAATTCCTTAGAACACTCCCCAAAAAAATTACTGCTACGGTGAATTTATTAACAGAAAATCTATCCGATTTTGGCTCGCCCCGAGATACGAACTCAGGACTTCTTGATCAGGAATCGCTCTTAGACTAGACCAATGAAGCAGTCAAAGTAGTTGAATATAACATGTTTTGAATTTCTTGATTCATGGTGCTGTCCTTTGACACAATACACGATGTCTTAAAACATTTATTATTTCCATAGCTATCCCAATTTATCACATGAAATTAACGCTTAGAATCATCAACCAATAATTCAATGTATATTATTTAAATTTTAAGTTTTTTACTTTAGACAGCGAAACAAGTTTTTTAAAAAAAATTAAGTTTATACGGTTTAGGAAAAAACGCATGTAACGAACGGCTAGACAGATGGACAGTGAAACTGATTCTTTAGTATTACATTGTACTTATATTGTCATGTGTCAAAAATGCACACATGTATATACAAAAATAACAACAAATTAATAAAACCAAAATACACAAATAAATTAATAAAATTCGTGGAGTAATGCGGTTCACTACAGTGACAAAGTTTATCTGTGAACATAGCGGTAGATTCACAAGGAATTTATACGTATAGATATTGCAGGAATTGCAAATGTTTGAAACTAATATCTCAAGTCGCACAACGTTTAGCTATTTGTTTGGTTTATTGATTATCAAATATAAAATAAAAATTATCAAAGATAATTTTGATAATTCGATAAAATTTGTAATAAAAAAGATTTAAAGTTTAAATACTATTTTCTATCGCGTTCAGAAATGACCACTTTTATATTAATATTATGTGATGGAAGGTCATTTGTGCTTTGGAAATTTAGTAGTTAAAACGATTTCTTGCTCCTTCACTTCATTTCGTCATCATCATAATCATCAGAGCCTTCATAAGTTCAGTGCTGAACAAAGGCCTCTCCCAAGTTGCCCCAAAACACGGTTCAAAACCACCTCCATCCATCGACTTCATATCAAATCGGTATTATATGCATTATAAGGAAAAAAATCTATAGTTTTATAGGTTTTATAGTGTTTTTTTATTATCGATCTCTATCTACAGTGTGTTATTTTAACTGGGACATCATGGGGAAATCCGAAACCATATGTGAAAATGTCCTCGAGACCCGGTTTTGAAGCGATTCCGGTCACGGCAGCCAGTTTCCACGGAGACTAGCCATCTGCCATTTGTACGAGTCAGTGCTCAAACACAGATGCACTCTCTATTCTCTCATTCTCATAGTCCGATAGGACACCTATCAGACCGAAGGATGGTCAGTCGCAAAACCAACGGCTTTACGTGCTTTTTGAGACACGGGGGTGAAACACCGCCAATTTCCTGGCTCCGGGCTGCTACTTAAGAATTTTGTGACAGAAAACCAAACAACTGATTCTGACTCCACACAAGATTTGCCACAAGAATTATTAGTCAAGTATACGTGAAAATGCTCGTAAAATTGGCGGCAGGTAAGGATGCAGGCAGCGTAGTAGTCTCACCACTGAGTTATGCAGTTGTAATATAGCTGAATATATATATATATATATATATATATATATATATATATATATATATATATATATATATATATATATATATATATATATATATATATAAATATATATAAACACTCACGCCTGTCACCCAGAGGGGTAGGCAGAGACTACGGACTTCCATTTGGCACGATCCTGACATACCTCTTTCGCCTCCTTTACATCCATATATCTACGCATTCTTTCCTAGGGCGTCCCTTCCCGACTTGGCCATTCACATCTGCCATATAAATTTGCTTTGTCACTCTTTCCTCATTCATTCTTTCTACGTGAGCAAACCACCGAAGCATTCCTTTCTTAATCCTGGTCACAACATCATCTTGCATACCACATTTATCTCTTATCACGCAATTTCTCACCCTGTCATTCAGATTACACCCTAGCATATTCCTTAAAGACCGCATTTCTACAGCATTTATTCTACTTTCGTGCTTCTTCTGCCACACCCAGCTTTCACTACCATACATTAAAGTAGGGACTAACACAGCATTATGAATTACCATACGTGCCTGTTTTGACAAATTCTGGTTCTTCATAATAGAGTGTAGTGCCCCATTCACTCTATTACCTGCATTTACTCGTCGTTCTATATCCCTATCATATCTACCATCCCTGCTAAATACACATCCCAAATACACAAACTCATCCACTTGCTCAATCAACTCTCCTTC